ATGCGGGTACAGGGCCCAAGCACTTGGGCCATCCTCCACTGCCTTCCCGTGCCACAGCAGAGAGCTGGACTGGAAGAGGAGCAACAGGGACAGAATCTGGCGCCCCAACCAGGATTAGAACCCAGGGTACTGGCGCCTTAGGCGGGGGATTAGCCAAGTGAGCCACGGCACCGGCCAGAAGGTTTTAGGATTCTGAGACTCAACTGTAAGAGAGACTTTAGCTGAAACTTACTGCCTTTACGCTTACCTGGGACTCAGAGAACTCAGGTTCTCTGAAAGTTGGGCTCAGTGTCTGCCCGCCTCTGATCAGGGTGTAGGGGCTGCAGGATCCTTTCTTCTCCATGCTGGCTGCTTGCCTGTGCCTGTGCTTCCCACCTTCCTTTTGGCATAATATAACATTAAAAATAAACTCACTTGTGCCATTTACTTAAGAGAGCAAATTGTTCATACTTAACCATAATTAAAATACTTGGCTAAGCCTGAAATTGTTTATTTCTTCTATTTCATGCTGCTTGGAAACTTTTTCATGTGTTGTGGATGACTCTTGTGGTTAAAGTTATTTTGAAGAAACTGTTGAAAGAAATTACAACCTACAGCTTCTCCTCAGTCTAATTTATTGTCAATCTGGTCTTTAGTAGATATATTTAATATCTAGGGGGATTTAATAAAAACTACCTAAGGAAAAGTTATGCTGAAGAAAATGTTGTTTAGAATGTTCTTTGTGAAAGCTGTTAAAGAATGAGATGTTCATTTTGCTATTTTCCTATTACTGAAGTATTGTTGTCATTTGAAGCTAGGATGATACTCTTGCCAGTGGGACTGTGTGTTCTGTGGCCTTTTTCTTCTTTCTTTCTCACCATCAATTGGATGCCTTTATTTTCTTTTATTATTTTAACATACACAGTTGACTGACACATAATTTCACAGGTTCTCTTTCCATATTTACTGTTAGATTTGCTCCTTCTGCCTTTCCATTTGTTTCTCTCATCTACTTGGTCTTGTTTTATTGTTGTTATTCTTCAGCATCTTTTCTTTTTCCTTTTTTATTCCTTTTTTTTCAGAATACTTTGCATAAGCTTTAGGCAGTAATGCAGAAATATGTTGTAGTGTGAAAAACCATTGGTTTTTGTTTGGAAACTTCCTTTCTTTTCTTGCCTGTGGCTCTAATCCATACACTGAAGTGCACTGGCTCGATCCCTGGAGCAGTGGGGGATCTATTATCTTGTATGTTCTGGAATAAAGGCAGATAGTCCCAATAAAATCATTTTTTTCATAAGGTACAGTTGCTTTTCCCTACCAAATCAGGAATGTTATGTATTATTTATTTTAGCTTGCTTTTAAAAAAGCACTTATTTTATTTATATGAAAGAGCGACAGACAAAGAGATCTTCCATCTGAAGGTTCATTCTCCCAGTGGCTGCAGAGGTTAAGACTGAACAACACTGGGACCATGAGCTTAGAACTCCACCCAGATCTCTCACATGGGTGGCAGGGTCCCAAGTACTTGGGCCACCTTCCTCTGCTTTCCCAGGTGTGTTTAGCAGACAGCTGCTGGGAGTTGAACCAGTGCTCATATGGGATGCCAGCTTCATAGGTGGCTGTTTAACCCACTGTCCCATATGAGCGACCCTTTTAGCTTGTTTTTTCAACCAAAGTTTCAGTGAATCTTGCAGAGAACTCTGAGCACTGGTTGGTCTATCATAGTTCCATGCTAACCACCAGATGTGGGTTGCCGCCCTAGGCAGAAAGCTGAGGACAAGGCAGCTGTTGGTTACCAGTACTCCCAGCAGCTGGGGGAATGTTCGGAACCCTAGTTCCTAATTTTGTACCATTTTTCATGACTGTTCATTTCTAAGTTTCTTTAGAGTTTCACTATAATTTTTGACTCATTTATTTGTGTATTTTTAAATGACTGAAAAATTTAAATTTTTACTTTGTTAGTGATTTGTAGCTTAATTGCTTTGTGGTCAGTGGTTATAAATGTTTTCATTTAGAATCTCTCAGATTTGATGAAAAGTATGTGAGCTATCACTGCTGCCTCCCAGGGTTTACATTAGTTGGGAACTGGTATAAGGAGCCAGAGGTGGGTTACCTAGGCACTCCAACATGGGGTGGATCCCTGGCAGGAAATGTCACTGAAATAAACATAACTCAATCAGTAGTAGGACAAGTGGAGATTTCTTTTGTTCTCTGATGTGAAGCATGAATGAAGATACAACATCGACTTTGAGTATTTAAAATTATTTTTTAATCCTGAATCTAATGAGTAAAGAATCAGTTACATTCAAACTGTAACTGGAATAGTCTGTAAAACAGCCTCCTTGGGTTCTTCAAAAATATCATTGTCCCGAAGGAGCACCCCCTAATTACAAGCAAGAGCAAACATGAACAACCCCACCCCCCAAGAAAATGCCAAAAGGCAAGTCATATATTTTACATCAATGGAATATAAAGAAGCATGACAACTGCCATGCATAATACTTGCTTTCCCTGAAATTCTAGTCCACAACTGTCACCTGCGGTTTTTTTTCTTGTGTATTTTGAATCTTTTTTTGCTGAAGTTCCATTACCCATCCTCAGAAGCTGTTCTATCTAGAGAGTTGTCCTTCTCCCTAAATATCTTTTATTTTCTTTTTCTTTAAAACTTGCTTTTAGGAAATGGAGGACTTGAGTTAATTTCTCAGCTTTTTAAAAAAGACGATCTTCCTTGCCCCCATCCAGCACATCTTCTCTTTGACCTATGAGAGATTTCTGATTAGCACTACTAAAGGAGGAATCAGATATTTCCCAAGAAATAGTTCACTTTCTCCTTCTTTTTACTCTTCCTTGTACATTAGTGACTCTGTGAAATATTAGTTGAAGGAACTAGTTTAAAAAAATCACATGAAATCGTATGACTTTATGACTGTCATGTAATTAAGATGTCATTTTTGCCATCTTTTAAATGACCAGATTATGCCGCTATGTGCAGAGCAGGGTTTGCCTGAAGACTGAGGATCTTATTGTATCTTGTGCCTGTGAACATGGCAATATCACTTGGTCAAAAGATAGTTCTTTTTGACTTGGAATCCATAACTAAATGGAAAGGTTGCTAAACTCCTAGAGTCTTCTTTATTGCCTTTCTTCCACATCCAACCATCGCTGACTGTAACTCTAAAACAAACATCAAGTCTTGGTCTTTGTCTCAGCCGGATGCAAGTCACAGGTGTCTATTAGCTGGACCACTGCAAAGTCTTCCTCATCTGTCTCCCTGTGTTCACCCTTTCCCTTTTACAATTCATTCATTGCATAGCAACCCAAGTGAGCACAAACATATGGATTAGGCCATGACGCTTTCCTGTGACTCTTTCTAACTTGTGCTTCTGTCAGGAATATTCCTCCCTCTTTGATTTTCAGAGGGCTGTCTCTTTCTTGCTATTCACATCTCAGTTTAAATATCAGTTTTCTCAGAGAAGCCTTTTCAAGGAAAAGTAACCCTGATCACTGTCAGTAGGCCTGCTGTTTCTATTGTAGCACTTGATGTTATCTGACATTCCATATCTAACATACATGTATGTATATTTAGGTGCATGGGTATTTGTTTTCTACTAAATAGAAGAAAGGGGAACTTTGTGACTTATTTAACTTTACATCACCCAGAGCCAGTTCAGTTAGTGTTTGGTACTTAGTATGTATTTAGTAAACATTTCTGAACTGATGAATGGAAATTTGATGGTAGAGTTAGAAAGAAGACTGCTTGCTTTGTAAGGAAAATCAGGCTGTGCTGAATGCTGGGAGACTGAGATGATATCTTACTCTGCAGTTAAGCCTTTGCTTGGAAGTAGAGTCCAGAAAAGTAGTAATAGGAGCTTTTTAGTATGTTGCAACCTAAGCTTCTGCATTTCCTTCTTTTCTCATGTAGTACTTGGTAGACTTCTGTTTGGAAGCACTAGTGTCTTCTGTTGTGCAGAAGGGAGATAAGGAATGGAAACATGTTGGAGTTGGAGTGTCAGGTGAGCTGCATTTATTTTTGGGTATGAGAGAGTAAGTTCACATAATAGTAGTAGGCATCCAATGAGAGGACCATAAAAGTGAGGGAAAAGTTTGGAACAGCAAAGGGACCTGAGTTTAGTTATACATTTTACTTTCATGTGTTTGAAAGGGAGAGAGAGACAGACAGACAGACAGACATATATTGATTGATTTATTGTCATGTGATGGGCTACTCTTCCTTAGACTTGCAAAAGCCAGAACTGGGCCAGGCCAAAAGATCTCTCATGTGGGTAGCAGGGGCCCAGACACTTGAGACATCATCTGCTGTCTTCCAGGGTGTGTTAGCAGGAGACTGGATCAGAGCTGAGCAGCTGGAACTCACACCATACTTTGATAAGGGAGTGTGGGTGTTGTAAGTAGCTCTACCACAATGCCGGCCCCTATTTATTTATTTATTTATTTAAGAAAGTAATCTCTTCCTACCAGGACGTTTGTCTCCTTGGAAAAGCCTTGAACAATTTGTGTGCTGCTCTGATTAGAGAGGTTGCTTAGTTTCAAATGTGTGTCTATTGGAGAATATAAAATTCAGTGATTGAACTCTAGACAAAAGCAAAGCACAGGTGTGAGTGTTTCCATGGATAAGAAAATTTGAGAGAAAATTAGTGGAAATTTCATGTCCAGGTTGGGTAAATGAGGGGTAGCAGTAACCATTAACGTACCTGATTTTTTCAGAGATACCAGCTTTTGAATGAATCTTTTTCTTCCTTTTCCATTAGCCATGACTCAAGTTAACTTGACAGGCAGAGACATAAGTAAGGATGAGAGACAGGGCTGTGTACTGTTATTTAACATTATCTATGTGAAATATTTTTCTCGTTCCTCTTTAGATGTTTAGTTCTTATGTCTATATTGTGTGATGACAGCATGAAAATATGAATTTTCTATGATTTAATGACTTAATTTGGCATAAAATATTCAGTAATAAGCCTTATTGTCTTGAATTGTCATTGCTCTTCTGAAATACTTAGGACGAGTTGATGAGGAAGAAGGCCTATTTCAGCTCATGGTTTTGGAGGTTCACAGTCCAAGATCAGGTGACTTATTGTCTGGGCATCCTGTGATGTGTTACTGCTGGTAGCGTCCCACACTGGTGTAGAACATCCCTTAGCCAGAGAGAGTACATATCTGCCTATGTCTCTCCTTATAAAGCCACCATGATTCAATCACTGGTGCTCAAAAAACTAATCCAGTCTCAGTACTTCCAAGATGCTCACTTCTAAACACCATAATTGAATTAAGGTTCTTCTTATGGCCGGCGCCGCGGCTCACTAGGCTAATCCTCCGCCTTGCGGCGCCGGCACACCGGGTTCTAGTCCCGGTTGGGGCGCCAGATTCTGTCCCGGTTGCCCCTCTTCCAGGCCAGCTCTCTGCTGTGGCCCGGGAGTGCAGTGGAGGATGGCCCAGGTGCTTGGGCCCTGCACCCCATGGGAGACCAGGAAAAGCACCTGGCTCCTGGCTCCTGCCATCGGATCAGCGCGGTGCGCCGGCCGCAGCACGCTGGCCGTGGCGGCCATTGGAGGGTGAACCAATGGCAAAGGAAGACCTTTCTCTCTGTCTCTCTCTCTCACTGTCCACTCTGCCTGTCGCAAAAAAAACAAAAAAAAATAAAAGGGTTCTTCTTAGTATCATTAACATCAACTGTGGGGAACAAGGTTTTAACATGAAGGTCTTTGGTGGACACCCAAACCAGTGCACAAACCTTAGAGCTCAAAGATTAAATTAAGAGTTATTGTTAGTCCTGCCAGTTTCTCTGTCCATCCTAACACTTTCATATTTGACTTGTTAGACTTTGACAGGGAATCCTGCCTACCTGGCTGCATGTGTTCACTGGTTTGATGCTGCATAGCTTCTTTTTGGGAAGACCATATTGCCTTACTATATATTGCCCTATTCTGTAATGACCTTTTCAGAACACGTAATAATGACTTGTTGGCAAGTTAATTTATGAGTTAATTTATGAGTTAGATTTACAAGCTAGATCCTTGTAAGCAAGAACAGTGTCCCTGTCTTGTTTTGAAACACACACAAATAATTGTATGGTCCAGAGTCTGTAGCAGATTTGTAAAATGAAATTAGTACTGAAATTAAAAAAACTGCAAATTTCCTAATACTCAGAAGGAACTGAATATGGTAGAGATATAACGCGTCTTGTGGTTTGTTGTTAATGGATAAGAAATATATTTTTAAAATTTTTACTTATTCATTTTACTTATTTGGAAACCAGAGAGAAAGACAGAAGTCTCCTGTTCACTTTCCAACTGCCTGACATAGCCAGGGCCAGACCATATCAAAACTGGAAGTTGGGAATTCCTTCTGGGTCTCCCTTTTGGGTAGCAACGCCCCACTTACTTGAGCCATCGCCTACTGCTTTCCAGGGTGCACATTAGCAGGAAACTGGATTGGGTATAGAGTTGGGGTTTGAACCTAGACACTCTGGTATGGAATGCAGGTATCCCAAGCAGCATCCTAACTGCTGTGCTAAATGCCAACCAAATGAATAGATTCTTTTTTTAAAAGTTTGCTTATTTATTTATTTTCATCTTTTAGAAAGGGAAAGGGAGAATAGTGAGGGAGGCAGAGACAGACACAGAAGCCTTGTGTTCACTATTTCGTTCTCCAAAAGCTCATGACAGCCAGGGCAGGGCCAGGCTGAAGCCATAAGCCCTAAACTCCATCTGGGTCTCCCATATGGGTGGCAGGGGCCCAAACACTTGTATCATTATCTGCTGCCTCTCAGGATGCATTAGTAGGAAACTGTATCAGAAGTGGAGTAGCCGACACTCAAATCAAGCACTTCAGAATGGAATGCCGGCATCCCAAGGGACAGCTTGACCCACTGCTCCGTAATGCCTTCCTTGATAGGTAGTTTTTCTATTCTTAAGGTTTATTTGTTTTGAAAGTCATTATTAGAGGGTGAGAAACATAGACACACACACACACACACACACACACAAAGAGATCTTCCATTCATTGGTTTTGTCCCCAGGTGGCCACAATGGCCCCAGCTGGGCCATGCTGAAGCCAGGAGCCATGAGCTTCATCCAAGTCTCACATGTGGGGGGCAGGGTCCAAGCACTTGGGTTATCTTATTCTTTTCCCAGGCCATTAGCAGAGAGCTAGGTTGGAAGTAGAGCATCTGGGATTTGAGCCAGCGCCGATATAGGATGCTGGCGCCCCAGGTGGCAGCATTACCTACTGCGCCACAAAGCCGGCCCTGATAAGTAGTTTTAGGTAGTGAATTTATAACATTTCTTTTTTTAGGAGTGTGTGCCATTTATTTAAAAAAGACTCCACATTGTAAACAGATTCTCAGGCATGTCATTTTCAAATATTTACATAATGTTCTGAAAAACAGGCTAATTTTTTTTACTGACTTCAATAGAATTCCTTTATCTGACGTTCAGCCTGAGGCTGCAGCATGAGATGAGAAAAATTTTATTCCTGCCAGTCGTACTTCATGTATCTGCTCATGAAACATGCAAAGTCTTTGCCCCCAAACTATGTTTTTGTTTCTCTTTCCTCCGTTATTCTACAAAAACTCGACTTCAACTGAAGTGTTTGAGTCATTTCCTGTAGAGTTCCATGCTTCCTCACCTGTTTTGTTTCCACTGTTCCTGCCTGAAGTGCCTAAAACTCGCCCGCCTCATTCAAATGACCCTTTATATAATATCCTTCCTACTCCCCTCTCTCCTTACCTTGTTCTGATCCTTCTCTCTTGTGAGACCCCAGTGATGGAATTATTTGGGTCCTTTGTCTTCCAGGATTAAGGCTTCCAGATTAAGTATAAGAACCATATGTTGCTTTTCTTGTAATTGCACTTAACATTGCTTTTAAAATGCTCTTCCATATAAAAGTAACAAACATAACATTTAAGAAACTTTGAATTAATTATGAAACATTTAGGAAACCAGTGCTATTTTAACTAGCGGTCTAAGGTCTGTGGCGGTTGGCCCCATTCCCACTCTTCTCTAAGGATCTGGAAACTGGCGTTGAGCGCTTGAGGGGCATCACTGGCCAGAAAGAGTTCTTTAGAGGCTCACTCACCCACCCATCTTTCCCCAGAAAAGCCCGTAAAGAAATGATCTCAGACACAAGCATCTCCACCTTGTGTTCAGAAGGCCTCTACGAAGGAGACTTCGCAGCTTTTCTTAATAAATTGTTACAGTTGGCGCTTGCTGTCAAAGATCGTACTGTACAGTAATCTTAATACTCAAAACCAACAACTATTTATGATTTTACTTTATTTTACGAGACTTTAGCTGGAAATGTTTTCTGTTTTGGACTTACTTTGCATTTTCATGATACCCTGGTTACTGTAAAACAGCTTCTCCATCGGTGTGCATGAACTCTGGATTTGCTTCTCCAGCTCATAGTCTAATAGCATGTTTGATTTTTCCCAGTTCTGTTCTGTCAGTTCTTGCTGATAAAAGCTGTGAGGATTCTCTGGGACTTTCATGAAAACACTTCAAGGACCTGAAAATCACTACCTTTGAAAAAAAAAAAGAAATTTAATTGATTATGCATGTCAGCAGCAATTTGGGGGTTTCTGGTGTGTGTGTGTGTGTGTGTGTGTGTGTTAGTGCTATGGGAGTTGCTTTTGTTCAGTTAATGTTGTGTACTTGCAATGTTATCGAGTACTTTTATGTTTTCATAACTTTTATTTCATTACGGGGATTATATTTGCTGATATAAATATCACTTTTCCTTTTAAAACGGTCATATGTATATAAGATCATCATTATATTTCCCTAAGTTTAAATAAAGAAACTTTTATTAAATTATTGTCTTCTGTGTTATTGAACATGTGGTCAGTTGTCATGTTCATACATCCAAATGATCAAAGTCTGAACTTGTGTCTAATTCTTCCCTGCTGTTAGGCTACCCTGTCATGATCAAGGCCTCAGCAGGTGGTGGTGGGAAAGGCATGCGCATCGCTTGGGATGATGAAGAGACCAGGTGAGAGGCTGTCCAAAAGATACTTTTGATGAAAATTGCAGTTACCAGAGTTTTATTGAACTGACAGGTAAACAGATAACCAGAGCATAATGGAGTCATTAGAATGCCATTCAGTTTTTACTCTTTTGAAGGTGGAAAAACTGAAAGTATGCAGAAATGTTCGTTATTTATATTTTCATCATTATTATACTGTTATAGAAAGATTTCTGCTTTTTTAAGCATTAACAAAGGATTTCTTTTTTGGTTTTATAGTATATTTTAAAAAATTACAGTCATATTTCTGTTTCTAGGCAGAAATCACTAACATTTATCTGTGTAAGTTGGAATGTAGCCTTACGATCGGAAACAACTATATATTAAAAGCAGCCGTAATTTCGTTGAGAGTTTGTTTTACCTCGATATATATGGATTTTCCTTTGCTGATCCATAAAAGCAGTAAATTACTTTGATAATTTTATGGTGTGAAATATATATTTTTTCTTTGAGTGTGAAATTATTTTATGCCCTTCATATGCAGTGCATTTTGTTGTAAATCTAGAACACACTATTACTAGTTTCAGAAATCAAAAGTAACTTTCAAAGTAAAAAGTTTTGGCCGGCTCCGCAGCTCACTAGGCTAATCCTCCGCCTGCGGCGCTGGTACCCTGGGTTCTAGTCCTGGTTGGGGCACTGGATTCTGTCCCGGTTGCTCCTCTACCAGTCCAGCTCTCTGCTGTGGCACGGGAAGGCAGTGGAGGATGGCCCAAGTGCTTGGGTCCTGCACCCACATGGGAGACCAGGAGGAAGCACCTGGCTCCTGGCTTCGGATCGGTGCAGCGCTGGCTGTAGTGGCCATTGGAGGGTGAACCAAAGGAAAAAGGAAGACCTTTCTCTCTGTCTCTCTCTCTCACTGTCTAACTGTGCCTGTCAATAAATAAATAAATAAAAAATAAAGTAAAAATTTTTTCAATTTAATGCATTGATAATGTCATAATAATTAGAGAAAAGGTTGTTCAAAAAGCTGCCCAGTCCAAGCAGATTTTAAGGAACTCAGATTCATAGTCTTTATTTTCAGAGTTGCCTGCAGGGGAGATTTATATTCATGTTTCAGAGATGAGGATGATAAAAACCACTGAATTGCTCATTTTTGTTGATGCTTCTGCTCTGTCTCCCGAGAAGTAATCTGATTGTCCAAGTGGCTAATTTTTCCTTCTCTTTCCCCTTCCCTCCCTGGCTTCCTCGCCCTTCTGTTTTCTTCCCCACCCACACTCCTTCCCCACTGCTTTCTCTCTTAAATCGCCTAGGGACAGAAACCTGGATGAGTTAGTGTGAAAGTCCTCTGCAGTGTATCTGCACCTTCCTTCCTGTCCTCACTCCTTTCTGGAGGAAGAAAAATGGTTTTAAATAACCCACAGAAATTTTAGCATTCTTTGGATGCAAAGGAAAGTTCAGTAGCCATGAGTTGCTTTATTCTTCTATCCTAAGGGATGACTACCTATTTTAACATCTTTCTGAAGCTTTTTGGTGAAAGTAGCAGCTATAACTTGTCTTAGAATCTGTAGAACACTGGAAAGATGTTAAAAGGAATAATGTTTGTTGTTATTATATAGTTAATTGGAGTGAGAATTATGAAGGTTGTTGAAAGTGGACTTAAATATTTTTATAATAATGTATTATTTTATTTTCCCCATATACATTTAAATAAAATGTGTGGCATGAATGGGAAATTGGTTGTGTTTATGTTTTCTGATACCGCCTAGACTTTAAGCAGTGTGATGAGAGCAGAATCTTTTACATTTGAACCTATATTTGTACCAGTACCTAAAGTATTTACCACACATGTAGTTTGATGATCAGTAAATGGGGGACTTCAGGAAGTTTGTGGCAAAATGACGTTAAAGATAAGTTTATGGGACTGGCATTGTGGATTAAATGGCCACGTATGTTGCCAGCATCCCATATGCGTGCTGGTTGGGGACCTGGCTGCTCCATTTGACATCCAGTTCCCTGCTATGCTCCTTGGAAAACAGCAGAAGATGGCCCGAGTACCTGAGATCCTGCCACCCACTGGGGAGACCCAAGTGGAGTCCCAGGCTCCTGGCTTCAACTTGGCCCAGCCCCAATCACTGTGTCCATCTGGGGAATGAACCAGCAGGTAGAAGATCTCTCTCTCTCTCTTCCCCGCCCCTCCATCTCTGTAACTCTGCCTTTCAAATAAATAAGTACACCTTTTTTCTTCACAATAAACTTATTTTGTTGCAAAAAAATTGAAATACATGTATGGTTGTTTCATAGTAAACATTTTCCATGGCCTTTTTGAAGACTACCTATGCATGGATTTAAAATTTTTTTGTAGCAAAATAAACATCTTTTAATTCCAGTTTCCCATCAACATTTTGAAGTAATGCTTGTATTTACTGAATTTACTTATAACTAAATCTATTAAGTGATGTCCTTAATATTATTTTCCTTGTTTTTTTTTTTTTTTTTTTTTTTTTTTGACAGGCAGAGTGGACAGTGAGAGAGAGAGACAGAGAGAAAGGTCTTCCTTTGCCGTTGGTTCACCCTCCAATGGCCGCCGCGGCCGGCGCGCTGTGGCCGGCGCACCGCGCTGATCCGATGGCAGGAGCCAGGAGCCAGGTGCTTCTCCTGGTCTCCCATGGGGTGCAGGGCCCAAGCACCTGGGCCATCCTCCACTGCACTCCCTGGCCACAGCAGAGGGCTGGCCTGGAAGAGGGGCAACCGGGACAGAATCCGGCGCCCCGACCGGGACTAGAACCCGGTGTGCCGGCGCCGCTAGGCGGAGGATTAGCCTAGTGAGCCGCAGCGCCGGCCTTCCTTGTGTTTTAAAATATGTTGGTGATACTTTTAAAGTCAGCACTGTTTTATTTTGGTGACTGATTTTTCCTTTTGGTGTTTTGGTTTGCATATAGAATAAAGACTCTCTTTCTCTCTCTCTCTCTCTCTCTCTCTCTCTTTTTTTTTTGACAGGCAGAGTTAGAGAGAGAGACAGAGAGAAAGGTCTTCCTTCCATTGGTTCACCCCCAAAATGGCCGCTGCGGCCAGTGCACTGTGCCAATCTGAAGCCAGGAGCCAGGTGTTTCCTCCCGGTCTCCCATGTGGGTGCAGGACCCAAGCACTTGGGCCATCCTCCACTGCCTTCCCGTGCCACAGCAGAGAGCTGGACTGGAAGAGGAGCAACCGGGACTAGAACCCGGCGCCCCAACCGGGACTAGAACCTGGGGTGCCGGCGCCACAGGCAGAGCATTAGCCTAGTGAGCCGTGGCGCCGGCCAAGAATAAAGACTCTAAATCATTACAGTAGGGCCAACTTTACTATGTTTTTTCTTTGTGAATATAATATCCCATTCAATAAAAATTTTGGTTATTTGGTGTTGTAAACAATAATTCTTTGTATGCTAATTTCCTTGTAGGATTCTGAGATCTAATTTCATTTCACCAAGTCAGAGATATAATGGAGACTAAAAAATCTAAACTTTTCATGAGAACTCAGAACTAGGGGATTTTTACAGAGTTTTGAACTTTACCTTCTAGTCACTGTTTACCTGCAATGTATCTTTCAAGCACAAAAACAAACGCTTCAGATAGTTATTTCTAGTATTGCCAGATGGACTATTTGCACATTAAAGGATTGGAAGAGCTTGGTTTTAATATTATATGTTAAATGCAAGTACTTAACTTGAAGACTGAAAACCTGTTGGATATGAAAGGAATTAAATTTTGTATTCTGGGCTGGTGTTGTGGCATAGCAGGTAAAGCCACTGCTTCTGCCTCTGACACTGGCATCCCCCATGGGTGCCAGTTTGTATCTCCACTGCTCCACTTTTATTCCAGCTTCCTGCTAATGGCCTGGGAAGAGCAGCCGAAGATGGCCCAGGTGCGTGGACCCCTGCCAGCCACGTGAGAGACCCAGAAGCTCCTGGCTCCTGGCTTTGGCCTGCTCAGCCATGGCCATTGTGGCTATCTGGAGCGTACCAGTGAATAGAAGATCTCTCTTTATGTCTCCCCTTCTGTGTAGCTCTGACATTTAAGTAAATAAATAAATCATTTTTAAAAATTGCATTCTAAATAATTCAGTGAATAGAAAATAACAATTTTAGATAGTAAACTTTTGAGATTTTAGTGGATGGACCAAGTGAACTCATTGTATATGAATTTGAGTAAGCATATTTTAAAAAATGTTTTATTTGAGAGGCAGAGTTACAGAGAGAGAGGGAGAGACAGATAGATCCTCTAACTGCTGGTTAACTCCCCAAATGGGAGCAATGGCTGGAACTGGGCTGATCCGAAGCGAGGAGCTCTGAACTTCCTCCAGGTCTCCCATGTGGGTGCAGGGTCCCAAGCACTTGGGCCATCTTCTGCTGCTTTCCCAGGCCATAGCAGAGAGCTGGATCGGAAGAGGAGCAGCTGGGGCATGAACTGTCAGCCACATGGGATGCTGGTACTGCAGGTGGAGGCCTAGCCCACTACGCCACAGTGCCTGTCCCAGTAAGCATATTTAATAATGACGATGTAAGTTACAAGTCACCTGGGATTAAAATTATGAAGACACAATGAAATTTACATTTTAATTTTTTAAAGATAATTTATTTGAAAGAGAGCTGTCATCCATGCACTAGTTCACTCTAAGTGGCCACAGTAGCCATGGCTGTGCCAGGCCAAGGTCAGGAGCCAGGAACTTCATCCTCATCTCCCATGTGGGAGGCAGGGGCCTAAGTGATTGCACCGCCTTCGGCTGCCCTCCTGGGTGCATTAGCAGGGAGCTGGATGTGAAGTGGCCTGGCCGGGACTCAAAGTAGTGCATGTGGGAGGCTGGTGTCACAGGCAGCAGCTTAGCCTGCTGCGCCAGTGTGCTGGCCCTTATATTTTTATTTTTTAAAATTATGTTTCTCTGTCTTAATTGTTGATCTTGGAAGCGTTTTAAAGAAGATGAAGTTTCCGTAACCGGTGTGGGTTTGTGGGGTACAGCTGCATTTCAAGGTGTGCGTGTACAGGTGGTGAATGCTTTTGTGCCGTGTGTTCACTCCTGGTGAGTGTGCTTGGTGTCGTCGTGCTGCAGTGCTGTAGTTGCTGAGGCCCTTCTCGTTGTTTGCGTCTTCTGGCTTCTGCATTTTAATTTTTTTATTAGTAGAATTAAAGTTCATGGCATTAGGGTCAAAAAAGGGTAATTATGTGTGTATGCTCTATATGGTTGATTAGAATCTCAGATTATCAGTTAGTAAAGTAACTCCTGTTTTAACAGAAGATACAGAATCAGGGAAGTTAACTGAGTCACCCAAGGCCACAGAGCCAGGGAGTGGGAGAGTCGCAGTTAAAACAAAGTTAATTAATGTGTTTGAACATTGAGTGAGTTTTGTGTTTTGTTCAAAAGTAACTTAAACATTTAATTGGTTTTGTTTATAATCGGTGATGTTTTGCTAGTCCTGTCTTCCTTTTTCTTTTCCAGAGATGGCTTTAGATTTTCATCTCAGGAAGCTGCTTCTAGTTTTGGTGATGATCGACTACTAATAGAAAAATTTATTGATAACCCTCGTCATATAGAAATCCAGGTTGGTACATCTTAAAATGCTTTCTAATTTTTATTAATTTGAAACAATATCATTTAATCCCATTGGAAACACCTCTCTTTTAGAATAATTGTGAATTATTATAACAATATTATTTTTTGAGTTTTTTAGAAGCCATATAAAATATTAAGTTGATATAATCGGTTATTTATTCTGCATGAAGGAATAGAATGACGTGCCTGGAGAGAATGGATAGCTGTTTGGAGCTAAAATTAGTGGCTAATCTTTTGGCTTCTAAAACAGTTGTTATTTGTGTGAACCTAATATATGTATTCAGAAATATGTATCTACTTCTTAATCCTGAAAATACATCTGTTCCTAAATACATCTGTTCTTAAAATTCAAAATTCTAGGGAAAAATAAAAACTAAGAAGCTTAAATTTTAGAGTTTCCAGCTTTAACTGATAAAGATACATTATTAAATTTGAATTTCAGATTACCAATGATTATTTCACTAAAAATTATTTTACTAAAAAATTCTTTACCTGAAATTCTTTAACTGCATATCATGTATTTTTACTAAAAAAGTGTTTGTTGTTTATTTGAAATTGAAATTGAGGTATCTTACATCTTACCTGGTAATCCCAGTTCTTTTCCCTTTTTTATAAATGGGAAAGTTCATGATGTGTTATGTATTAACGCTAGACCTTTGACCCACTTGCTACAATGAAAATAAACCACAGGAGAGACATCTATATAGAAGTCATAGACTACATGTGGACTAAATGCATGAAATGTTTGCTGATCACTAAACATCTAATAACATCAACACCAACAGGTGTCTAAAATAATGCTGTGGTGGTGGCTGTCCTGTGCACAATTGATAACCGTAATGTACGTCCCCTTTACTGACACTCGTTGTCCTCATACAGCTGTGTAATTGGTTCTGTTTTACCCATTGCATCTGAAACGTAATTGGAGAATGTTTTATCTTTTTGATAAAAATGTTATGTTGAGTTTATGGAGTATAAATACAAAGTTTTTGTCTATTAACATCACCCTAAAGAATGAGAGGCACTATGTTCTCTGAGGTTTGAGGTTTGAGAGTTAGAAACTGAGAGAGGTGTTGCCTGAGGAAAGTGTTAATTGTGCACATGGTGGTGTGGCTCTGTGTTTTTTCTAATGGTATTGCTCTTACAGGTTTTAGGTGATAAACATGGGAATGCTTTGTGGCTTAATGAGAGAGAGTGCTCGATTCAGAGAAGAAACCAGAAGGTGGTGGAGGAAGCCCCAAGGTAAGAGTCTCTCCCAGCAAGCATTATAAAACAGACTGCTTTTATGCTTTGTATTTTCATTTTCTTGGATACAATCATTTTAATGTTCCTCTAGATGACATTAATGCGTGTGTTTGTAGTTAAGGCTTTGTCCCTTGATCCTTCTCAGTATATTAGGTTAGTGCATTAAAGTGAGTTCAGGAAAGAGAAGTGGGTTTTCATTAGAGGAGAAAGTTGGGTCGACAACCAAATGTGACTTCTGTTGGCTTCTGCGTGTAGAATCTGCTGGTGTTTTGTAGAATTTCTGGGGTGGATGTCTTTGAGGCTCTCCTGTTGGTGAAGGTTTCATAAAGCGGATTCTGAATTTATCTTCCCACGAAAGGACTTCTTGGATATGGTTCTTGGAAATTGCTTGGTTTATCAGAACCACTGTGGGTGCTCCTTCAGGCCACCTTTACTGTGTTTGATGGAAAGCTTTGTGAAGTCTCATTTCTAATTTGATGCTAGGTTGATATTTTAATATTTTCTGACATTCTCTTTGTTCCTGAAAATTCCCAGTTGAGTGTATGTGGTTGTTTTGAATCACCAGATACCAGGAAATATAGCCAATATAGCTGTTGTCAGCATAGCCAGCATGCCTTGATATAATGTGTGTATGGCTTCTAAAATGAAGAGGTGTGAGTATGAGCAAACTTTTAATCACAGGGTAATGCTAAAAATTAAGCTGTTTTGGTTCTGTTGAATTTGTTTAAGGTTTATTTATTCAGAGAGAGGGAGAGGGAGGAGGGAGGAGGGAGAAGGGAGGGGGGAGGGGGAGGGGGAGGGATCGATTTTCCATCTTCTGGTTCACTCCCCAAATGGCCACAATGACTGGGGCTGACCCCTGCCAAAGCCAGGAGCCAGGAGCTTCTTCCAGGTCTCCCACATGGGTGGAGGGCCCCAAGCACTTGGGCCATCCTCTGCTTCTTTCCCAGCACAATAGCAGGGAGCTGGATCGAAAGCAGAACTGCTGGGACTCAAACTGGTGCCCATATGGGATGCTGGCATCGCAGGTGGCGGCTTCACCAGCTATGTCACAACACTAGCCCCTATTGAATTGTTTTTTAAAATGTGGTTTGATGTATAAGTTTTACAACAAGATCTCCAAATCCTTTGATGCTTGTCTCATTGATTTGTCAGGAGAAGAATCTATATAGCCTTTCGCCTTGAATTTGTGCTCTATTCTTGACCAATAGAAAACATACAAGTGATGCTGTACCAGTTTCTGGCCCAGGCCGCATGAAACTAGCAGCTTCCACTTCCTGTTTCTTAGGATGCCATCATGTTGTAAAAAACTGCTCACTGTAGACTGCATGGCATGTGGCCCTGTTTCTCATGGCCTAGGACCAGGATAGAGGAAGGAAGGAAAATGAAAAAGCTAAGGGAGAAGTTCTCCGTGGGTCTTTAGGAAGGAACCTGGGAGCTGCTAGTGCTGATTACTTGGCACTGACCTGAAGGTCAGTACTTAGCTGAGAAGCCTGGAAATGCCTTGTTTGCCTGAGCAGCCATGTGCTCAGCTGGAATCCTAGTAGAAGAGAAAGGTTGTTGGCAGGGCCGTCTCTGGCTTAGTCTTTTGCTACTTTTTTCCTTGCCTGCTTTATTATTTCTATTTCAGTTAATTGTCTCATTTTATTGAAAAGTTACCTGTCTTACCTCAGATAAAAATCTTTCACAGACTGGGAACAAAAATCATGATCTTTGTTTGTTCTGTTTAGAACTGTAAGTTTTTCATAGCAACATCTCATCTATTAATATAGAAAACAAAAGAGGAAAAACCAAACAGTATGAACCAAAATGAAAACACTAGGACTGATTGTTTTTTTTTTTTTTTATAGATTTTATTTATTTATTTGAGAGGTAGAGTTACAGAGGGGCAGAGAGAAAGGTCTTCCTTCCGTTGGTCCACTCCCCAAATGGCCACAACAGCCGGAGCTGCACTGATCCGGAGCCAGGAGCCTGGAGCTTCCTTAAGGTCTTGCCACGCAGGTGCAGGGGTCCAAGCACTTGAGCCATCTTCTACTGCTTTCCCAGGCCATAGCAGAGAGCTGGATTGGAAGAGGAGCAGCCGGGACTAGAACTGGTACCCATATGGGATGCCGGCGATGCAGGTGGAGGATTAACCAGTGCCATGGTGCCGGCCCCAGGACTGACTGTTAATGTTGAGTTGATATCTATACATATACTGTAAAAATGTAAAATAAATGGAGTATATAAATCCCACTTACTATAGTAAGAATCTAAAACTGTGCTTTAGGGTAAATGGGAAGTTTGGGTTTTTGATAAAGGTTAAGTCAGGATGAGACAAGGCAAATAATGGGTTTTTAGTCAGTTGCAGTGAGAATCTCCAATGGTATGCTGTTAATTTTTAGTAGGATTTCCATATTTTGTTTGTAGTAGTTTTGTCATGCATTTATTGGTGAAATAGGTTAATGCAGTAAGATTCACATCACCCAAGGGGGCCATAGGAGGCACATTTAGCACTGGCAGTATTCTTGTCCCACACCCTCACTCCACTGGATATTTACCTTGAGTCTATTCAAGGCTCTGGAGCCAACTAGAACTGTATATGGAATAGAAATATAATACTCATATTAAGACAACAAGGAGTTACATGTGGCTTAACAAAGAATGTGAGGAATCAGGAGCATGACCAGGTCCTAGAGCAAAAACTCAGGGAAAGGACATTACAGAGGAAAAGCGTCTGTAAGATACAAATGGAGGCCGGCGCCGCGGCTCAACAGGCTAATCCTCCACCTAGCGGCGCCAGCACACCGGGTTCTAGTCCCGGTCAGGGCGCCGGATTCTGTCCCGGTTGCCCCTCTTCCAGGCCAGCTCTCTGCTGTGGCCCGGGAGTGTAGTGGAGGATGGCCCAAGTGCTTGGGCCCTGCACCCCATGGGAGACCAGGAGAAGCACCTGGCTCCTGTCATCGGATCAGCGCGGAGCACCGGCCGCAGCGCACCAGCCGTGGCGGCCATTGGAGGGTGAACCAACGGCAAAGGAAGACCTTTCTCTCTGTCTCTCTCTCTCACTGTCCACTCTGCCTGTCAAAAAAAAAAAAAAAAAAAAAAAAAGATGCAAATGGAGCCTTTGGACTGTATGGGAAGATGTCAGCTGTATGAAGATACTTAAATGAGATAATCAGGGAAATCTGAATATTGACAGGATAGTAAATACTGACTAGCTATTATTTAATTAAGGAGTCCCTATTAATTTTTTAAATGTGGTTGTGTTACAAAGGAGTACTTACTGAAACAGATATGGGAGTTTTTACAGTTGAAAATGCTTCATTTGGGATTTGCTTTAGAATTAAAAAAGCCAGTTGGCCAGAAGTTATGTGTTAATAATTATTACATGTTGGTGACAGCCATGTGCACATGCATTATACTACCCCATATAATAAAAAGTTTACAACATGTCATCCAAATCTTACTCATTTGAGAATAATTTTAATCCGTAAGTAGAAAAGTAGTTAGTGTTTTATTTCTCAGAATCTTGTATAGAAGCAAAATCAGTGAAAATACAGAAGTGGTTTGATGGTTGTGGTTTTCAGGGTTTGTTGAAAACATCTTAGCCTTACACGTTTGCTGGAAGATGACTTTGATATTTAAAATGGAAGTTTTAGGATTTATGAGGTGTGCAGTCACTTCTTGTTATTGGAGGCAGTTCTGTTCTATAAGGCATCGTGAATACTGAGTGAGCAACTTCAGCCTGTTGCTTCTAGGGGAAACAGAGTGTTTTCTGTGAGCCTCTGCCCCTAACATTTTCATCAGCTGTTTAGAATATAACCTTGTCTATGTGTGTTTCTTTTGATAGGTCCCTTCTTTAATATCTATTCTGGGCTCTTTATCATTGTACTCAGTCCTGCCAACAGGACCATAACTCATGCCCAAGCAAAGCTTTTATCATGCAGTTTTTCTCTGTTAAGACTCTCACACCATTTTGAGGCTTGGAAAAACCAACTAGAGCCTCAGTTCATCGCTTGGGGGTGGTGTGAAACCACATGCATAAAAGTGTAAAAACCAAACCAAACCCAAAAGTGGTACTAGATATACCTTGAAAAGGACCCTCATTCAGTCTGAGCACTGAGACAAGAAGGCAGAGTGAGTGCCTTGCTCTGAGTGTGTTAACAGTGTCAGTGATTTTGCCTCTCCGTGTATGTACCTGAATGTCCATAGGTGCCACAGCATTGATTTTGGTTCCAAGTAAATTTGAGCAGGTAGGCAAATTTGCAAATATGGTATCCATGAATGATGAGAATTGAGTTTTCTTTGTTTTCCTGTTGAAAGCTTGACTATAATATGTCATGGTAAAGATCTTTTCTGGTCATGTCTATTAGGAGTTCTGTGTGGTTCCTGTACTTGAATGTCCCTTTGTTCTCTAAATCCGGAGAGTTTTCTGATGTTATTTCACTGAATAGCCTTTTTAATCCATTCTCTCTTTCCACACCTTCAGGAACTCCTAAGACCCATATATTAGGTCATTTGATAGTATCCCATAAATCTCAAACACTGTTTTCAGTTTTTCTAATTTTTTCCTATTTATTTTTGTCTGACTGAAAAATTTCCAAAGATGTGTCTTCTAGCTCAGATACTCTCTTCTATCTCATCAAATTCGTTGTTAAGCCTTTCTACTGTATTTTTTATTTGACATGTTGAATTCTTCATTTCCAGTATTTCAGATTGATTACTCCTCAATATCTGTACCTCTTAACAAAATTTTTCACTCATGTCATGTATGGATTTCTTTAACTCACGAATTTGTCTCTCATTCTTTTGAGTAATCTTATGATCATTCTTTTGAATTCCTTTTCAGGCATTTTATCAATCTCTTCATCTTCACATTCTAATATTGAAGTGTTGTTGTGTTCCTTTGGGGGAGTCATATTGTCTTCCTTGCTTATGTTTCTTGTATTCCTATGTTTACTTTTATGCATTTGTGAACTACTTGTTGCTCTTTTTCCTTGTATGGCTTTTATCTTTGAAATATGCCTCTGTGGCTTAGAGGAGTGTCTACTCCTTCAGAGGATACCCAGATGCATGTCCTGGGTGGGGCCTGGGAGCTCGAGTCAGTGCTTGGGAGGGGTTCAAGAGTCCAGGGTAACACCTGTGGTCTCCTCTGTTGTCAGCAGGGGGAGGTTATGATCACTGTGTGATCACTGCCTCACCTCCTCTCTGCCAAGGTGGTCAGTGCCTGGGGTGAGCCCACAGTGGCTGTATACCCCATGCCTACAGGATCATGAACCACACAAACAATCTGTGTGGTCCTAAGTGTGAGTACAGAACTCTCTGCAATGACCCATCCCAGGCACTCAGGGAACGCTCAGCCTCTGAAGCCAGACACAGGGTTTTCCCAGAGACCTAGCTATACCCCATGCCCTATGATGCAGTCACAGAATTCCCACAGTCATTGCTGCAGGGCTCCCACAGTACAAGGAGCAGGGGATCCACTCTCAGTCCTATGAGCCTGCTACGTCCACCAAGAGCCCAGACGTTCCCAGACCCTGCTGTCTGTTGGTGTTCTACCTTGGAAGTTTGAATATGGTTGCCGGTGATAGAGTTAGGGCAGAGGCACACCTCACAGGCTTACGTGGGCGCCCTGCCCCTGCCTGCCCTCCATGCCAGACTCAAAGTCGAGACTGTGGATTTACCCTCAGATAAAATCCCCTACTTGCTCACACGTGAGCTGTGGCTGCCTGCACGTGCCTTATCAGGGTGGTGCCTCCTTCCTAATTGTCACTGGGAGCCCTTGTTGGGTAAGGACAGCAGGCAGTGTGCCCTCCCTTCAGTGTTCAGATGGGTACCCTGCCCTCTGCTGGCGCTCCAGGCTGGTCTCTAGTCAGTGTGGTCCTCAAGGTTCCCCCTGAGGCAACAGCAGCAGCGACACAGGTTGCTGCGGACTCCTTTGGCTTCTAAGATGGCCTCTCCTCCTGACCGTCCGTCCGACTTTTCCTGCGAGTGTGGTGCTCTGTGGGAGTAGGGGAGGGGAGGAAGCAAGCAGCTTCCCTGCTCCAAGCCTGGTAGTCGCTCAGGCTCCAGTCAGCTCCCCAGGCTGAAGTCAGAGTCCGTGGGTGGTGGGGGTGGGTGCTGGGCAGTGTCACTGTGTTCCTAAATAGGTATATATGAGAACATGAAACTTGTGTAACTTGAATAAAATTAAAAAAAAAAAAAAAAGGGCGGCACCGCGGCTCACTTGGTTAATCCTCCGCCTGAGGTGCCGGCATCCCATATGGGCACCAGGTTCTAGTCCCGGTTGCTCCTCTTCCAGTCCAGCTCTCTGCTGTGGCCCAGGACGGCAGTGGAGGATGGCCCAAGTGCTTGGGCCCTGCACCTGCATGGGAGACCAGGAGGAAGCACTTGGCTCCTGGCTTCAGATCAATGCAGCGCACCGGCCGTAGCAGCCATTTGGGGGATGAACCAATGGAAGAAAGACCTTTCTGTCTCTCTCTCTGTCACCATCTATAACTCTACTTGTCAAATAAATTAAAAAAAAAAAAAAGTCAGTGGATGACTGTGGAATTCCCTCTCAGCTAAGACTGTGAGTGGCAGGGCATGCAGCAGTTTCTTTACCTTGATGTGGTAAGATGGTGGCTGGCGGCTGGCAGCTGGTGGCTGCAGCAGTGTCTTTGTCTTCCTTCCTCTTGTGCCTCACGGAGTCTTCCTTGTTTTTCCCCTTCTTTGCTGAGAATTTCCATCAGTCAGACCCCTGGAAACGTGGTCCTTCCTTTGTTCTTTTCTTATCCCAGAGCAGCTGATGTTAGTGTGGCTGCACCCTGTTCAACCATCTTGGAAGTCTACTGCCTTTATGTTACTTTCTGAAAACTTAGTTTTCTTCCAGTTTTAGCTTGAAGCAGTTTTGAATATATGTGTAAAATGTTACTAGTGAAAGAGTAGTCAGACATTTTATAATTGGGTTGAAATTGCAGTGTAGAATGAAAAGTTCTGATACCAGTTTTATAAAAACCTAAAGTTGATTGCCTTAAGCATGTTATGTTTAATGCAAAAAGCACATATGATAAAATGTATATAATGCATATGATACTATGAACTCTCAATATGGATGATACAGATCTGAATAAAATTTGAGAAAATTTTGATAAAATGTACATAAAAGATGACTTGATATTTGTTTAAAATGTAGCATTTTTTTGGACCCCGAGACTCGAAGAGCCATGGGAGAACAAGCTGTAGCTCTTGCCAAAGCAGTGAAGTATTCCTCTGCTGGCACGGTGGAGTTCCTGGTAGACTCAAAGAAGAATTTTTACTTCCTGGAAATGAACACGAGACTCCAGGTAACCGAAACTGGTGTTCCTTCTTCTCTGGGCCTCTGCCCTTTGTTCCTCCTCACCTGTTCTTGCCTGTTTTATAAAAGTTAAAGATCAGCTTTTTGAATTGCTAAGTAAAGGTCTAGTTTTTGTGTTTGTGCTGAGATACATGTTAGGAATAACAGATATGTGACCCCTTACTTTCAGGATCAATGTCTCGCCCTCCGGCTTTGTTAGTGTTAATGCTTCATGTTGGAAATGCCACTGTGTTTTTTTTCTTGAACCTTTTGGGATGAACAGTATTTGTCAGGATTCATGTGGTAAGAGAAACTACACTAAATATTGGAAGTAGAAAGGGATTAAATGCTTGCAAAATCTGTGGAAGGGATGGAGGATGGCAGGCTATCTAGAGAAATGACTCCTAAAATTGTTTCACACAGTTAGCCTTCGAGAAGAACTACTAGCCCTGCTAGTTAGGAGTTGAGAAATCCAGTGGCTGCCCTGGAATTGTTGGCTGCAGGAACACATCCGATTTCCAGGGAAGGTTTCAGGAAGCTATTGATGCTGTAACTGCTGGGTTACTTTCTTTTTTCTTTCCATTTATTTAAATTGTGCACTATACTCATATAGAAAAGTACATAGAACACATATGTAGAATTGAATAAATAATTATTAAGGAAGACTTTGTGTAAACATCATCTGGGTCTACAAGTAACAAAAATGCTAAGACGTATGGTTATTTTTGCCTTTTTTTAAAAAAAAGATTTATATTAACAGGATCTTATTTGATATTTTCTTTTATTCTTTGGTTCTTTTCTCAACATTATACTTGTGAGATTGATCCACGTTGTTTCATGTAACTCACTATTTATCTATTCAGTTTCTTATAGATATTTAGTTTTATGAAATTTGTATGCATTTGCTAGGGCAGCCATAACAAATGATCATAAACTGGGTGGCTTCAGAAATTTATTCTTTTTTTATTTTTTAAAAATATTTTATTTATTTATTTGAGAGATAGAGTTATAGACACAGAGAGGGAGAGACAGAGAAAAAGGTCTTCCATTTGCTGGTTCACTCCTCAAATGGCCATAAAAGCCGGAGCTGAACTGATCCAAAGCCAGGAGCCAGAATCCTCTTCCAGGTCTCCCATGTGGGTACAGGGGTCCAACCACTTGGGCCACCTTCCACTATTTTCCCAGGCACATTAGCAGGGAGCTGGATCGAAAGAGGAGTAGCTGGGACATGAATCAGCGTGCGTATGGGATACTGGCGCCACATGTGGAGGCTTAGCTTACTATGCTACAGTGCCGGCCCTCGGAAATTTATTCTTTCACATTTCAGGAGTCCACAGGCTGACATCAAGGTGGTTGCAGAGTTGGTTCCTTCCTGGGGCTCAGAGAAAGAATAGGTTCGAGTGCATGCCTAGCTTCTGGGGGTTGCTGACAGTCCGTAGTGTTCCTAGGCCTGTGACAGCATCTCTCTAGTCTCTGCCTCAGTGGTAACATGGCCTTCTCTTTGTGTATGTTTGTGTCTGAAGTTGGCTTCTTCTGTATGGATACCAGTTGTGTTAGACTGAGGACCCACCTTGCTCCAGTATTACCTCCTTGTAACTTAACTACACCTGCCAAGATCCTACTTCCAAATATAATCACATTCACAGGTTCTGGATAAACATAAAGTTTGCGGTGTGGGGGATGGAAGCTATTCTATCCAGTACACAGTTCAAAAGATAACTTGTGTCTGTAGTGACAGCTTGCAGGTGAGTGGTTGCCTAGGGCTGGGGAGAAGCAGGAGGACTAGGGACAGCTAACGGTAGAGACTGAGGTAGATCAGACTTAGGCCTGAAAATTAGATCTACTTTTCCTGCATTGGACTTTGGATGGGATGGGGAGGAGAGGTTGAGTGTCTGCAGGCGGAAGGCGAGTGGGACATAAGGGTTTCTGTAGCCATGGTTAACTTTCCTGCACCGCTGGGTTGCCTGAGAGCATTTCTCAGTTCTTAATCCATCCTTAGCTTCAGGATTTCCCCTGGTCCTGCGCTTTGACAGAGGGCCTGCCTTTGTGCTCCTGTCTCTTTGCCAGAGGTAGACTCCCCTTTCTTACCACGGGACCCTTGTTGGCCTGCCAGTGACTGTAGGAAGGAGTTTTCTGTTCTTGATAGGCCTTGGTCTTGGTCCTTGTGCCCTTGAATCTTTGCCTCTTTCCCTGGTTAGCTTGTACATTGTCCATCTTCACTGACTCTCAGTCTGTCTGCACTCAGACATTTTGGATGTGTTTCTGGGGCTGGCCTTGTGGCATAGGGTGCTGGTTCAAGTCCTGGCTGCTGCACTTCCGATCCGGCTCTCTGCGATGGCCTGGGAAAGCAGTAGAAGATGACCCAAGTGCTTAGATTGCTCCATCCGCATGGTTGACTGGGAAGAAGTTCTTGGCTTCAGATCAGCTAAGCTCCAGCCATTGTAGCCTTTTAAGGAGTGAACCAGCAGCTGGAAGACCTTTCTGTCTGTCTGTCCCTCTCTGTTTCTGTAGCTCTACCTCTCAAATAAATAATTTTTTTTAAAAAAGTGTGTAATTCTTTTAGCTGAGTTTTATAATCTTTGCTTTGTACCTGGACCATTTATTTGTTCTATAGAAAGAGTAAACTCTCATATATTTAAGTTTGCAATAATTTTTATGCTTTTGACCTTACCTCTGTAGTTCTTTTCCTTTCCCCCACCCCTTTTCTTGCTTTTATAATATGTATCATTTAATTTTATTTCTATACCTGTTTGGGAGTTAAAATACCTCTAATGCTTTGATAGAACCTACATATTACAACATATGACAAATCTTTTAATAGTTCCTAGAAAATGGATATTAAAAAAGCATGAGCACTATAATGAAGTTGTTTTTAAATTCTGTTTTCCATGAACTTTTGAAGTCCCCTCAGGCATCCCTATTGCTGTCTAATATACCAGTTATTATTTTTCTCTTGTTCAACCAGACTATACTAACACTTCAAAACATTTTAATTCCATTTATCATCCCCTGAGTTATACGGAATTGTGCTCTGTAGGCCATTTCTCTTGTTATTTTTAAAAAATAGTCACCATTTATCCTGTTATACTCACATATTTAATCTTTTCTCTTAATTTATTTCTGGAGATTTCTCTTAGGTGTTTGCTTATGGCACAATTTTTTTTTTTTGTTAACAGTCTATAGCTTTATTTTGCCTTTACTCATGAAAAATATCTTTCAACATATTTTAAAACAATTTATTTATTTATTTGAAAGGCAGAGTGATAGAGAAAAAGAGCAACAGACAAGACAGATAGAGAGATCTTTCATCTACTGGTTCATTCCCCACATGGCTGCAGCAGCTGGATCTGGCTGATCCATGCTGGTCTCCTGTGTGGCTGGCACAGGCTCAAGCCCTCTGGTTGTCCTCTGCTGCCTTCGCAGGCTCATTAGCTGGGAATGATTGGAAGCAAAATGGTCAGGATTTGAACTAGCACTCTAATATGGGATGCTGATGTTGCAAGCATCAGTTTAACTTACTGTGCCACAATGCTGGCTCCTTTTCAACATTTTCTGAAAAAAATTTATCACTTTTTTTAAAAAAGATTTATTTATTTATTTCAAAAGCAGAGTTACAGAGAGGCAAGGCTGAGAGAGAGAAATACCTTCCATCTGCTTGTTCATTCCCCAGATGGCTGCAACAGCTGGAGCTGCAGCCATCAGAAGCCAGGAGCCAGGAGCTTCTCCTGGTCTCCCATGTGGGTGCAGGGGCCCAAGCACTGGGGCCATCTTCTACTGCTTTCCCAGGCCATAGCAGAGAGCTGGATTGGAAGTGGGGCAGCCGGGACTTGAACTAGCGCCCATATTATGAGATGTGTTGGCACTGCAGGCCAGCACCTGTTTACATTGTAGCACCATTTTGACATGAGTGTAATCAGCGAAGTTCTGATCTCTAAGTTATATGTAAGAAGTTAAAAAGATTCCTATTGTTTAATTGCACAGTGAATAGCTGTCAAATATTGTGTTGAGTCTCACGTACTATGGCAGAAATGATGCATTTAGATGCACTTTAATATCAGTATCATATTTGTAGCATTTGAGTAGATAATAATCTAGTACTTCCTTTAAAATCATCTTTTTTTTGGCTTTTTTTTTTTTTTTTTTGGATACTCTTGTTATCCTTAGACTTTATTTTTGACTGGACTTTAATATCAGTATCATATTTGTAGCATTTGAGTAGATAATAATCTAGTACTTCCTTTAAAATCATCTTTTTTTTTGGCCTTTTTTTTTTTTTTTGGATACTCTTGTTATCCTTAGACTTTATTTTTGACTGGACTCAGATTTAGAAGTAGGTGCTCTTGCCGGCGCCGCGGCTCACTAGGCTAATCCTCCGCCTTGCGGCGCCAGCACACCGGGTTCTAGTCCCAGTTGGAGCGCCGGATTCTGTCCCGGTTGCCCCTCTTCCAGGCCAGCTCTCTGCTGTGGCCAGGGAGTGCAGTGGAGGATGGCCCAAGTGCTTGGGCCCTGCACCCCATGGGAGACCAGGAGAAGTACCTGGCTCCTGCCATCGGATCAGCGCGGTGCGCCAGCCACAGCATGCTGGCCGCGGCGGCCATTGGAGGGTGAACCAACGGCAAGGGAGGACCTTTCTCTCTGTCTCTCTCTCTCACTGTCCACTCTGCCTGTCAAAAAAAAAAAAAAAAAAGAAGAAGTAGGTGCGTAGGTGCTCTCAGAGAAGACAGCCTGCATCTGCATCTCTGGGCATTCTGTCCTTGGCTTTCCTCTTTGACCCCTTCAGTCTCTGGTTAGAAGTTGAGCAGATTCTTCAGTCTCTTGTTTATTTTCTTAGTCCACTGCTTCTTCAGGGCAGCATGAGGCGTTGGTGTTGCAGGACACATGGAGTGAGGAGACGCTGCACCTTGGGTGCCTTGGTCCTCGGGTTCTTACCTTCTTTGTTTAAGGGCTTTCTTGGAACATACTGGTGTATGTCATCTTCTTTACTGCAAAGTGTGTGAAATCTGCTGGTTC